CACCTTTCCATTTGGCTAGCTTTTTTTACAAGCCTCCGTTAGCGTACAAGTTTCACCACAGCGAGACCTGCAGACTTTTGTAAGGTGTAAACGAAGCTCATGTTGTCGCATAGCTTTACAAGAATTTACAGGCCTCTAGGATACATGACAGCGATTGATGGGAGCTCGGAAAATACTCCAACCAAGCGTCCCGCGTGCGCGCTGATAATTCCGTGGACACTCCCCCCTTCAACGCCAGTATGCAGTCACTGCTCCAACTATTGCGGGCTCAGGATGCCTTCATTAGTGGGAGGTTCTCCAGCCTGAACATCGGTCCATGCCCCCTCACATACTCTCTCAATGGAGGGACAAGAACTGTAGCTGTACGTATATAGTCAGTCATCCAAAGTCAACAGTTTAGCCTTTCACTCACCTGTCCACCTATTGGACTTCGCTTTTTCCTTCCCAAGCATGGAACGCATCCCTGAAATAAATATAGAAAAATTCTATTGTTTTCTCTTTAAGCGCGCTTGAAAACAAGAATAAGAATGAAAGCAAATGTTTAGGATTGCCTTACCGTTCGTTTTACTCGTCGATGATGTTCTTCCTCAATTTCTCTCTTCTTTCGATTGAGGCACGGAAGGCATCCCTTTAATCCAGAAAATCAGTCCACACTCATTCTCCATAGTTACGCGAGAAAATAGGCAAAATGCACTCAAACTAGTTTTCAGTTATCAATGAGTTCAAATTCGGAAAACGCAGAATAAGGAGATAAACTAGAGCGGTACGATCGGGGACCTAATACGAACGTAAAAAGGGTGAAATCACTACCTTCTAGTAGAGCCAACATACATATACAGATTGCTCACCATTCGTTTCACTCTTGCCGACCGAGTGTCACTTTTTTGGCAAGCAGAGCAGCTTGATGAAGGAGCAGACTGAAGAAAAGAGGAGCGACATGAAAAAACTGACTGAAAAAAGTTGAGAAAGTTGAAGACGTACATGCGAAAGCAGTGACGTCAAGGGATTGTCATTGTTGGAGCAGCTTTTGCAATTCGTTTGCCTTTTTGCTCTTGAATACTTCGGTTGTCCAGCTGCAGTGCATTGCTGGCAATTACCTGTCGCGCCTAAAGGAAAAGAATTAAAATAAGTGGAAAGTTGAGTTGAGCTGGATGTTCCTCATCGTTTTCATAGTTACCAATTAGCTGTGAAGGATTATGCCGCTGAGGAGGTATGCTGAAGCCTCATAAGTCTGCCAAAATGATATTATCGATAAGGGGCAAAATTTTGCGCTTCGTGCAGTACCTACAATTTGTTAGCCGCGGATACTGGAGCGTGTCAGGGTGAGGGCTCAGTTTGGTTCGAAGTACAGTACCCACCGTAAGTGTTCAAAAATTTACGAAAAAAACGCCGATCCGCGTTTTTTTCGTTTTTTCGTTATAGAGCTGTTCTTTTTGATTTTTTGTATGGATACCCATATATTATTAGAATCAGTCAGCCAAGCTCTATCCAGGGTATGCTCATATTCTCTGCGGAAATCATGCGTTTTTTTTGCTGGCGCCATTTTGGCGCCACTTGGCGCCACCTTGGCGCCACTACTTTTTCCAACAAAGTCTGTATAAACTCGATTACTGGGGCTACTCAAAGCCCTGTTTACGAAAATGACATTCATTTCTCGCCGTGGCGCCATTTGGCGCCATTAGGTGCCAATTTCGCGCCACTTGCGCCACTTTGGCGACACGACCTTTCTCAAAAAAATCTGTATAAACTTGCATAATGGGGTTTCTCGGTGCCCTGATCACAAATGTAACATTCACTTCCAGCCATGGCGCCGTTCTGTGCCATTTGGTGCCAATTTGGCTCCACTACTTTTTTCAGCAAAATCTTTGTAAACCCGCAGCCTGGTTTGTGGAATGGTCACGTGATCTTTTGAGAGCAAACATAAATCACGTTGAGCGGAAAAAACGTGAAAAAGAACTCGCGATCGGCGTTTTTCGTAAATTTTTGAACACTTACGGTGGTACTGCAAACCCACTGCCCATCAATTAGTCTTGCGCTTGGACTCGCCTCAACGTCTCGTGGACACCTAGCTGGCGGCCGCTCCAGAACTAGGACCGCTCCCCTCACCCCTACACGTCCAAGGCATCTTGCCAGAACAAAAAACTGTTAGTCCGCTTGTATGTTAAGAAATTAGTTTGATATCGGACTCACGCTTCTTCAGCTTTCCAGCAACGAAAAGAATATAAGAAGCCCGCCAAAAGGTCCTGAGTAAGACCCTTTTCCAGCAGATGATTACGGTTGCTCGACAGGCACGAAATAAGCGAGCGGCGCACGAAAATGCGAGCCGGCCAGGAAACAGCCAGTAGCGCAGGGGAAAGACCAGCAGTACTGAGAGCAAGCAAGCTGCGACCATATTGCCGGCGCGGATACAGTTAAAGCTGCTGGATATGTGTGTACATGGCTACAACACTCGGAAGCCTCAAGGCGTACTTTTGCTTCACTTCCGCGGCTTAAGAAAATTACAAAAGCCTGGAGTACAATCAGCATAGTATTGACCTCTTATCTCCAAGGGATCGTTTGCTTGTGTACTGTCATTGTCCCATCGAACGAGAGAGCGTCTGGCGGGCCACGTCGCGAAAGAGCAGCCACATTATAAGATGCCGCCACTGCTAGCAGGATGCCCACCAGTGCTGAAAAGAGCCACCCGCTGCGTTACAGTACGCGCCATGTCACACGTCCTATCGTTTGGAGGGATGATGACTGTACCTCTGTTAGGTACACTACAACATCAAAAAACCACTTCCTATCTTTTTAATCAATGCACCATCGCACTTTGGGGATCTGCTCTGGAAGAGGAGGCGGGGGGACCCGATTGGTTGCCTGAATGAGAGGATCAGTATTTGCCTTCGAAGGCAAAGTTTTGGTTGGCTGACTTTTCTCGGCTTTCTCCGTTTCGAGAGCGCGAACCTTCTACCTCCGTCCTTCGACGGCAGTTTTTTTTGGGAAACGAAGATTCTTTCGCAAAAAAAAAAATTCGATAGAAAGTTGTAGTAAGTTGGGGGAGATGGATGTAGGATATGGCAGATGGGATGGGTGCCTAATGCCATGCGAAGCTGAAGAGGGGTCGTATTTTGAGAAGGGTTTCCCTGCTGGAAGGATCTGGATTGTGATGCTCCCCTCCCCCTTACTCCATTCCTTTTTTCAGCTAGAATAAATAAATCTTCTTCCCCTGTCAAAGCTCACCTGGACTTCTCTTCATGCGAAGGGCGCGATGCATCCTCCTGCGGCACGGGCAGGCAGGACAAGCGCGAAGACAGATAGGTAGTGTGATAACCTGAACATATAGGTGAAAGTTGTACCAAAGAGGAGATCGAGACAGGGACTGAACTCACCGGGCAGCAGACTACTATTGTAGTTGGGCAGCAAACTGGCTGACAGCATACTGGCGGTCTTGGACAGCATGGTATTGGTGGAGGAGGAGGACAGCAAGGAGGTGCAGCTGGAAGGGAATTTCTATGAAATAAAGGCAATAGGGAGATAATTACGAGACAAATCAACGAGTAGAGCAGTAACTTACGTATACAACATGGCTGAACTGGAGCACAACAAGGTTGAAGTGGTGGTGCCGCACATGGGCAGCCATTTCCTACGGGGTAACCACCTGGCTGTGGTGGCCCGATTGATGAAATAGGATTTCCTACGGCGTAACCACCTGGATGTGGTAGCCCGAGTGATGTAATAGGATTCCCCACTGCGTAACCACCTGGTTGTGGTAGCCCGAACAGTGAAGCAGGATTTCCTACGGCGTTACCACCCGGTTGTGGTAACCCGAATGTTGAAGAAGGAGAGGATGATGAATACGTAACGGAAGGACCGCCTGCTCCCGACGGCTGGCCAGAGTTTCCAGGTAGGCCAAAACTTCCACGTTGACCAGAGCTTCCAGGTATTCGTTCCGGCGACAAATAATTGCTAAAATGCGAATATTTCGATGTTGTAAAAAATGCAAAAGATAAAACTGACCTTCGATGACCAGCTGTAGGAGGGTCGAATTCTTCAGCGGAAGAGATATAGTTAGGACCGGGCCTGCGAGAGGAAGTTCTGGAACTAGCGGTCTGCAGCATTTCTTCATTCGTTAGCCTGCTCGGGTTCCTGTTTGATGAATGATTCGTCTTCATCAACAAGATCGTTTCCTGCTCCGAGAATTTTCACTTCTTTTGGCCTGAAAACGGTCGTCTTCAGAGGGCACCGTTCTACTGTGGAAAGTTGTACCAAAGAGGAGATCGAGACAGGGACTGAACTCACCGGGCAGCAGACTACTATTGTAGTTGGGCAGCAAACTGGCTGACAGCATACTGGCGGTCTTGGACAGCATGGTATTGGTGGAGGAGGAGGACAGCAAGGAGGTGCAGCTGGAAGGGAATTTCTATGAAATAAAGGCAATAGGGAGATAATTACGAGACAAATCAACGAGTAGAGCAGTAACTTACGTATACAACATGGCTGAACTGGAGCACAACAAGGTTGAAGTGGTGGTGCCGCACATGGGCAGCCATTTCCTACGGGGTAACCACCTGGCTGTGGTGGCCCGATTGATGAAATAGGATTTCCTACGGCGTAACCACCTGGATGTGGTAGCCCGAGTGATGTAATAGGATTCCCCACTGCGTAACCACCTGGTTGTGGTAGCCCGAACAGTGAAGCAGGATTTCCTACGGCGTTACCACCCGGTTGTGGTAACCCGAATGTTGAAGAAGGAGAGGATGATGAATACGTAACGGAAGGACCGCCTGCTCCCGACGGCTGGCCAGAGTTTCCTGGTAGGCCAAAACTTCCACGTTGACCAGAGCTTCCAGGTATTCGTTCCGGCGACAAATAATTGCTGAAATGCGAATATTTCGATGTTGTAAAAAATGCAAAAGATAAAACTGACCTTCGATGACCAGCTGTAGGAGGGTCGAATTCTTCAGCGGAAGAGATATAGTTAGGACCGGGCCTGCGAGAGGAAGTTCTGGAACCAACGTTCTGCAGCATTTCTTCATTTGTTGGCCTGCTCGGGTTCCTGTTTGAGGAAGGATTCTCTTCATCAACAAGATCGTTTCCTGCTCCAAGAATTTTCACTTCTTTTGGCCTGAAAACGATCGTTTTTAGAGTGCACCGTTCCACGTTAACTATTTGGGGTCTAGCCAAATTGGCAAGATTTCAATCTCCAGGAAGAACTAATGTTCAACGTGACTCCGCGTACATGCACAACTGGGGTCTAGCATGGGGTGGGGGGGGGGAGAATTACTGACTTTCTGGAACCTGCAGACTCACACAAACGCAGCACATGCCAGCAATGGAGTGGGCGCGGCTGCGTAATTTACTTGAACATGGCGTAGGAGGATGCATGGTTGGTGGGATATTTCCATTTGATATAAGTAATGT